TTAGTAAAAAAAATTAATTTAAAGAAAGCAAGTTTTTTAGAGTTTTTTGTGAATTTAATTAAATTAGTAAATAAAAATAATTAAATAAAAGTCCTAAATTCTAAATTGATTTTAATTTACAAGAAAAATAAGATAATATAATAATGAAGACTAATTATCTAAGTGTTAAAAAAAGTAAATTAATTTATTAAAGGAAATACTTTTTTTGTTCTTTTAGATTTTATGAAGAAAATAAACTAAATAAAATATAAATAATAAAAATATAAATATTTTTGGATTTTTATTGATAAAAATAATAGTAATAATAAAAATAATATTAATAATAATAATAATAAAAGATGAAATAAAAATAATAAGTCAGGGAGGTTAAAATTGAATTTGGAGGTTTATTAGCAAAACAGTTTTCTGAATTTGGCCCAAAATGAAGTTTTTGTTTGGAAATCATAAAATAAAATGTATATGGGCTGCGTGGTATGAGTAAACAGGGGGGGATTAATGAGCAAAAATGCAAAGCCTAGGAGGGGAAAACCCAAGCGCTTCCTGTAACAAAAATGTCAAAAAAAAGTGAAAAATGCAACAGGCAGCGCGCTGAGGTTCGAACCCATGACCTCTTGATTACCAACGTGCTGCCTTACTACTGGGGTGGCTATACATCCGTTAATATAACTGAAATGATAAATATATAATGTAAAACAAGTCTTGAACACACTTCATCTTAAACCTCCAGCCAGACCACCTGTAACTTCACCATTTCTCAACAAAAATGGAAAATGCAAACATGAAAGTTGTTCCATTTTTTCATACGAATCCAACCATATAAATATCATAAATTATAAATCAAATATGAGTGGGAATTTTTAAAAGTACCAAATCCTGACCTAATCATTTTCAGAGGTTCAGATTCAAAATTCTAACTAATCAAGCAACAATAATGACATATAAGGGTATGGTTAGCTTCAGGACAATGATATCTACATTTCTTATTCACAAATAAACCATTAATGTTGCTTGTATGAAGAGTTCAAAATTCAGAAAACTCATCTTGCAAGAGGGTGTCGTGTTTTGAGTTTGAGCAGCTTTTGATGAGTTCCAGTGATTGAGTTAGCTTCCTCAAGTTCCCAGGAAGCTAATGTGATGCCTGGCTTGAATTGAAAGTGGCTGAGGAGTTCTGGAGAAGTCAAGGTGCAAGGTGTTGTTTTTGAAAATGGTGGATGATGATGGAGGTATTGCAGTCGTGTTGCAGGTTTTGGAATTGTTTGTGTATGTTATTTAGAAGCTTTTGAAAGTAAAATGCCAAGAAACGCATGAGCAAATTTAGAGATTTGATTCAAAACTCAGAAATGGCAAGTTTTAAGATGTTTTTGGTAGTTTTATGTTTTAGGAGGTTTCAGGACTTGAGCATGCGTGTGTTTTCTTGCAAATGACTTGTCTTTATGTATGGAAAAGGTTTGGATACTTGAGGTGGTCAGAAGTACAAGATCACATGTTTTGGCTTCTTGACTTGTTTTTGAAGTAAGGTTGACAAACATGGTTTCAATGCATAGTACAAAGGTATCTAGAGTGGTTACCAAATTTAAACATGCTTATCCGACTTTGTAGAGGAAGTTTATGTAGAAGGAACAAGTGCAAAGCTCAATGCAAGTTGACTTGCATAAAGCTTGCTTTATGTAAATGGCAATGGTGCCTTTGTGCCATTAATGGAAAATTAACTTGGATAAAGCTTGAATCAAGTGGATAATAGATCAAAATCAAGTGTAATCTTCTGATTATGGAGAGATATTGAGGTTTAGAGGCTTGCAAAGAAAGATTGTGCAACATAGGTTTGAGATTTGAATTTTGTTCATCACAAAATTTGCCTTGTAAAACAACTTAAAACCCCAACTTCTGACCTTCGATTCTCCTTGCTCACAAATGATATCAAGTAGTTCTTGGACATTTTGGAAAGATTGTAATGTGCTCTACAACCCCTCTTTGAATCACTTTTGCAAAATATAAAGTTAACTATGTGAAACTTGGGTCAGAAGTTAGGTCAAAATCCTGACCTAAAATGCTGAAAATTTCACTAAGTGTTTAGGTTCATGACCATGACTTCATGGATTAATAACTTGAGATTCAAGAATTTCTAGGAGAATTTGTGTAAAGAAATGTTGTAGATCTCATGGATATCTACAACTTTCATGTTGAAAGTTTCTTTTGAATCATCTTACATCATGGTGAAAAATTGCTCAAAGTTGTGAAAAAATATATGAAGTTTTCAACACAAAAAAAATTCTAAGTTTGAAAACTTTGACTTTTCAAAATGAAATCTTGACTTTTTGATTTCTTGATGAACAAGTTTCATATTTTGACATGTTTTTATGAATTGTGATCTTTGACACTTGATTTTGACCAAAAAGTCAAAGTTTGACTTTTCAGTATACAATTGACTTTTGATCAGTTGACTGAAAATCAACTATCAATCCAACTGATCTTGAGCAATGTTTTGATTCATTCCATTAGGTCAAAATTGTGCAATTGAACTCTTGAGATCATGCCTCAAACCAATTAACCATTTTCTAGGTCAAAAATCAGAAATTGCCCTTTTCTCAATCAAAACCCTAATTTTGACCATTTTGCCCTTTTGATGATCTGATCAAATTTCTTGAGGAATTATGGTCCAAACTTTATCAAATTATACATATGAGTTTATAATGTTGATATGGATTAAAAATTATGAAGTTTGACTGTAAATTGACCACAGTTGAATTTTTCCCCAATACAACTGATTTTTAGGTCAACTGCTTAATTGACTGAGCAAAAATGTGATCCAAGGCTTGAAACTTGACATGAGTAAACTTGGGGGTCCATAATGGTCCATGAAATTCATACGGGGCATTAAAAGTTTAATTATCCTTGTGCAATCTCAAACCCTAATTTCAGTCCTCAGTGCTTAAGGAGGTGTCTTGAGCTGATCAAACCTTGTGCAGTCTTGAACCAAAGGAGATCTTGTGAGAAAATATTTGATAAATGAGAGGGAAAATTTTGGGGTACAACAGATACCATCAAGACTTGTTGCTTATCCTTTTCTTCAACAGCCTTTGCAGCTTATGTAGCCAACCTGGCTTCCTCTGCATCCTTAGCTTCTTCTTCTGCTTTTAGTCTTGCTGCTTCAGCTTCCGCAAGGCGAGCTTTTTCTTTAGCTTCTCTTTTCTTAGCAGCAAGCAGTTGAAAATCTTGAAGTCGTTCCACCTTGTCCTGGACTATCTGAATTTCTGCATCCATCGTAGCCTCTGAAAAACTTTGCAGTTTTTCAAATTCTAATGACATCCATTTTTGAAACACCTTCTAGGAATTTTTTAGATCCTGAGGTTTACAACTGGTACATGCTTCATCTCGTAGCTTAGCTACTTTGTTCCTAACCTTTATTTTAAACATGTTAATGTATTCTTCAAAGGTTTTTGGAAAGGGTTGTTAATATATGATTATTGCACGTTCAAGTTTAGAATGAATAACTTCAGAGTTGATAGTTTAAAATGGTAGTTCAGACAGATCATCAAGACCAGAAAAGGTATATTATTCAGAAACTGGTATAACAAATGGTTTGGGTGAAAGAGTACCAGAGGGTGTGTTGCACCCCAAAATTTTCTCTCCTAATTTCTTTTATTTGGCTTAGACCTTTGCGTTCATTCGCATTCGCATTTTTAGGTCACTAACATGGCATACATTTCATTCAATATAGCTCTTTGGTTCAAAGTTCAATGGTTGTGAAATATAAGGGTTTTACACTGGTCAAGGCGTTCGTATCCAATAAAGGCTTATTTCTTTTTCAAACATTGAGCAGTGGAATTAGGGTTGTGGTATGTGGCATTAAGAATCTCTTCTTCACGAACCCATAAGGCCAATCTCCACCCAGTTTTGTCAATTCCAGAAATTAGGGTTTTTGTCATATGGACGTCTTGCTATGCTTCCAGTTTCATCTTAGTCAAGGAATTTCCTCAACGAAGGGTCTGGATCCAACTCAAGGCTTAAAGACTCAAAGATAATGGAATTAGGGCTTATTTCTCTAATCATGTGGTAGTAAAAATATTTCTTTATAAAGTTTGGGTTCATCAATGAATCTCATCATTCAATGGATATTGTTCATTGCTCGAGTGGATTTTAGGGTCTTATGGGCTGACTATTACCATCATGCTAGTTCGTCTCATTAGGATTTCCTTTAGACTTTCTACCATTAATTGAGGTTTGGTTTACCTTTACTCGAGTTACAAGATTTGTATTGTGGATTTCGTGCAAAGAGTGAATATGAGTTCACATGGTGTTATTATAGAATCATCTCAAATTTGAAAGATTGGTCAAAATCAACCATGGAAGTTTGACTTTTGACAAATTCCTTTTTAAATATTTTTGAGGCCTGCATCTAATGGTTCATTCAATTATAGCAAGATTGAAGAAAAATTGGAGAATTCACAAGAAATACAAATTGAAAATGGTTGATATTCAGTATTTAAAAGATACAAAGGAGGGAAACTATTTTATCAAATTCATTTGGAAAAGCTTCATTAGAAAAAATCAACATGCAAAGTACAATGGTCAAGATTTACTTAAATTATCATATATAATTTCAAAAGTTACATTCCATGCTTCGCATTAGTCATCAAAATACAATTGCATCATAAGATTCTACATTCAAGATTCAATTAACAAGGATTACTACATCCCGTTCACTCAAGATTTGAGGAAAGACTTTGAAAATTCAAATAAGGAGATATCATCCGCAAGAAAGGATAAAAGCTTGATACACAGGTTATAGAAAATGGAGGAAATTGGAGTGTAGGACGACAGTAACTTGTTTCTCTTGGTTGAGTTCTTTCGAAGAAGTTAAAAATACTTGTACTTGATGAAGCAATAGTATCTGTCGACACCGCCACTGATAATCTTATCCAGAAGATTATTCAAACAGAGTTCAAAGCCTGCATTGTGCTCACCATTGCACATCGTATCCTTATAGTTATTGACAGCGATCAAGTTCGGGTGTTCAGTGATGGTTGATTTGCTGAGTTTGACACTCCTTTACAGCTATTAGAAGATGAGTCATCCACTCCTTTACCTTTAGATTTATTTTCTTCACCGCCGATTGAAGAGGCGCCGTACTTCTCTCCAATAGGTAAGCCATAAATCCCTCCAATCTTTAATATGTTCCTCTTTCTTGCATCGTCTATAAGGATTGAAGTGGGGATATCCAACTGCGAACTCGTTTGCATTTGCAATTCATGGTCTCCGTGCTGTTTAAACAGTAGTTGATGTTGAACTAGGATTGATGAGGAGCTGAATCGAAGAGAAGGCTGAGGTTTAGTTGGCTGTTTGATTTGCGATATTTGAAGAGGATCCGCAGAAATAGGATGATGAAGTATGGAAAGAATATGAACACAGAGGAGAAGTGAGCGAGGGTGATGATGTCGCTCCCTTCATTGTGAATACTGAAGTCGCCGCGAAGAATCAGGAAGGAAGACGATGAGCGGAGTGTGGGCGGAGATTGTCGGAGGAGTTGAGGGACAACAGTGGAGTTGTTGATCGTGCCATTGCGATTTTAAAGAAGAAGAAGAGAGAAAGCCTCTGAGCATGAAGTCTGGGTCATATAACATTGAACCCTAAATCCTCTTTCAGGCCGATAGGGTTATGTTTTTAATGCTTAAGCCGAACCAGGTTACCCTTAGGCCTATGGATATCTTCTCTTTAGTACAAGTGGGCTGCCAAAGATGGCTTATTTTTGAATCCATTTTGCAAACAAAAAAAAGATGGTTTGTTGTATGATTATTGGACCGGATTGTATTACCTTAAGCCCAATATACTCCTTTTTTGGCATTTTGAATGGTGTGCAACAAAAACAGTATGGTGGACTACTGTTTTCGTTGGTCTTCGGGTTGCACACCCTTACTAAGCCAATTTACGGTTTTTCTTTGTTGATGGCCTATTACATTGCAACAAAAACAATGCCATGGACTTTGTTTGGATGAGCTTAGCGCCCAGATTACTACTATACCCCTGGATTTTGGCTTTCACCCATGAGTTCTTTCTTTTAATATTTTCTTTTTGATAATTGTCTAGTTTTGTTGAACTTTTTTTCTTTACACGGTAAAAACAATAAAATCAATAAAAACTTGTAGATTTTTTATTTTAGTTTTAGGAAATTAAATCCCGATTATCCGATTATATTTGAGATTGGTAATTCACCTTTGCTTGTTAAGATTTGTGTCTTACACAGGTTTATTGTGCGATATGCGAATGCGCTTGATATTTCGATTGTGATTTATTTTCACATCGTTGATGCTTCGATACTTATTCCGAGCATTCGATTTCTGACTCTTTTCTTTGATTGGTGAAGCTTTTCGCGAAGATCGCCGAGTTTCTTTGTTTTGATACGCTTCCTTACAAATCGATATATGTTTGGTATTTTCTCTTGTTTATCTCATTTCTCACTTTATTGCTTTCTAGATACCATGAGAAGTAGGAAATAAAGAGTGTGCACTCGAAGTCGCTGTTTAAAGACCTGTAGCAGGCATTCCACACTTCAGTTTCTATATATGTTGTGTTTGTGTTTATTTCTTTGGTTGTTGATCGATGAGCCACTCAATTTAGAAATTGAGATCACGACTTCTCTCTCAGTGCATGATCCCTATAGGACTTTATCGCTTTCCTTTATTTCTGGTTGATCGATGAGTCACTCAATTTAGAAATTGAGATCACGACTTCGCTCTCATTGCATGTCCCCATAGGATAGTTTTTGTTAAACTTTCTTTGGCATGCTAACCTAGATAGGATATCTTTAGGTGTGCTCTCTTGAGCTAACTCTCTTGATATTATTGATTTGCTTGTTTGATTTCATCTTCGTGTGCATGTTTTGAGATGATATACCCTCGGCATGTTCCCTTAGGAGCTCTCGATTCAACTATAGATGATGATTCAAGATAGACATGGTTTTAGGTGATAGACCCTTGCTATGCTCCTTTAGGACTTCTTGATTCATCTATAGATGATGATTTGAGATAGACATTAGGATAGGAATCCATGCATGGTAACATAGGTTAGAGATTTCCCTTTCAAAACTAAACCTTAGGATTAATCGTTGTATGATAACATTAGGGATATATCTATGCTAGTCTCCCTTAGATGATTTTTCTTTCTTTTGCATCCATGCATTAAGACTAAAACTTCCTTATTCTTAAAAAAAAGCATAAAACATCTAACAACTTTCAAATCCTTCTTTAAGGTAAAAAATACCAATCAATGCAAACTCTTTTGTGCCTTTGGGATTTTATTTCAAACTTTTTTCAGAGAGGACATGTTAATTCACTTTTGTGCTGACGCGTGAGTCTCCAAAGGTTGAGCTGGGGAAGAATGCGAAATTAATATTGTTAATTAAAAACTAAAAACCAATAAAAACATGTGAGCCAAACTACGGCTGCTCTGATTCCTTAAAAGGGATACATAGGCATTGGGATAGGGCCCGAGCGAGCACAACATTTATTTTCCCTTCATTATTTTCTCTTTTCTTTTGCATGCATTCCCTCTTTTCATTTTCTTTTAGCCCTTAAGCCTAGATATAAATTCTTACACACCCTTTGATTAGAACAACAAGAGTGGATATCGTAGAGTACTACGGGCGTGTGGGTTTCTAATAGCTTCCCCTCGCATAACAGACTCCCTTACCCGATCTCTCGGTTGCAAGACCGTGACTTCACCATTCTCAGGTTTACTCGATGTTTACCTTTCCATTCCCATGGGATAAAAAATGTTTGATGGCGACTTCATTGATTTCATTATTAGTTAATTGTTCAGCCGGTTGTTTCAGGGTGCATTAGATATAACGATTTGTATGGGTGTATGGTGAGAATCAGATGGACTAGTGATAGATTCATTTATGTTTGAGTTTTTGTTTGTGAATGAAAATTGAAACAGTGTTTGGAATGGCGGTATTTCATTTGATGATTCTAATGTAGATTTGTTCAAATTGGTAGTAGTTGTTGAAATCGATGAGAATAGTGGGGCAGAGACAAAGTTTGAAAATGACTTATGAATTGGACATGTTTATTCAGAGAAATGTGTCATTATAATTGTTAAAGATGCATTAACATATTCATGAGCATTATTGGAAACAGTAGTAGGAAGGACAAAAGACTTACTTGATTTTCCAGATTCAGAAGGTAGACCCTGAGATTCAGCGGATTCAGTTCTTTGTCTCTTCTTTCCCTTTTTCTTTGGCTCAGAAGCCTCCAATAACTAGATGTCTTACTAGATGTCTCAGATGTTGTAGTTCCCAAAATTGTTTCTTGAAAAAATATAGCTTTCTTCTTCTTCTTATTTGGTTCAGAAGTGTTTCATCTTTTCTTTCCTTTTCTTACACCACAATCAACTTCTTCAGCATGAAGTTTAGTGTAATCAAAATTGGACATATCATGTCCTTCTTCTTCCATTATCCAAACATATATAGCAATCTATCTTTGAAAAAAGAGGATAATCAGTAATTGGAATCCTTCTCTGAGTAATGACTTCAAACGGTTCACCTAGAGGTTTAACTTTAATCTTTTCAATTATTTGCATGTTCCTTAAGTTTTGTGTAGTAAATAATTCTCCAATGCTGGGAGACAAATCTTCTATGTAATTTGCTTCTTCCACCAGATATTTTAGTAATCCACTTTCCACAAGAATGTTAGTCAGAAGACATCCACAAGGGACATAGGTAGGAACATTATTCTTAGGATTTACAGTGGTTCTCGTCTTCTTAACAATATCCTTCAGATAATTGAATAAAACATAGGGAAGCTTGATCTTCTACTTGGTTAGCAAGTAGTACATCATGAACTTCTTATTAAAATTGAAGTAATCAGAAAAGTTTGAAGCAGGTCTAGGGTTTATACATCCCAGAATGATCTTATGCGAAACTCTGAGATTTGGATGAAGATCCTTTCTCTTGTATTTTGTCTTCTCATCAGAGTAATTCTTAAACAGTAGTCGATTGAGTGACTTCGTTGCAAACTTCAATTTACTATTTTTAGTTTTAAACTTCTTCTCCATTTTATATGTACATTTTCCTTCCATAAACTTCAAACCTAGAAGATCAACAATTTATTTTCAGTTATGACAATCCTTAATCCGATGACATCGGAGGCAATATGCAGATCATCACAATTAGAATTCTTACATAATTCTTTTGATAAATCTCCATAAATAGGATCATGAAGCATATTAAAGTAGTTTTTTCCATCCCTGAGCTTCTAATTCTTCTTTTAGGTCAACCTCATTATTAACTAAATTGTCGAAATCATTTTAAAATTCCCGAAGAACATCTAGTTCTTGAGAAGGAAGGATGCAGTGAACTTGAGAGGTTTATTGAGTAATGTGGTTCTCATTAACTTCTGTAGAAGAAGCAGTAAGAACCGTTGTCTTTACAGGAGGAATTGGTGAAGATGATGGAGCGAAGGTAGATGATGATGAAGAACCAGAAGTAACTGGTGGTTTTTATGCTTGATCAAATTCCTTTGCGAACTTAACATCTTCTTTTTGAGAATTGGTCATCATGAATTTGATTTGAAGAAAAATATGAATGAATGTTGAAGGTTGTTGACGGAGAACCCAGAAAAGCGATTGAAGGAGAAGAGGGGTTTAGGGTTTATAATTTGTGAGGAAGTGAGAGTGAGCGTGTGATAGTGTGAGAAAGTGAGTTATATAGAGGGTTAATGAAATTTTGAATTATAGCATTTACATGTTAAATAAAACAAAGAATAACAATTTTTAAAGACACAATATTGGAGGTGATAAATGAAGGCAATCATGAAAGAATCAATTCTAAGAAATTGCACATTGTTCATGATCTAGCTTAGGTAGCGTGTGATGATTAAGAATAACCAATGGTTACATGCGTTAATTACTACATCTAACTAAGTGACATGATTAATATTCTCAGGGTCTGGATAACCAAAGGCTTCCATCTGATCATAGATATTTCTGACCGAAACATCTTCTGGTAACTGAGTCTATAAAATAAAATTAGCATAAGTATAATAAGTAAAGAGAAGGAGAGAAATGATATTGTCATATTCTTGAAGATCTTCCATCTGTCTTTAACTTTAGCTTTCTCCAAGATACAACTTCTGATCAGCTTCTTTCTTCTTATGCTTTCTTCAAAGTGGTCTTTCAGAGGTTCTAAATTATCTTCATATTGATTCCTCTTACTTCTTTGAATATTCTTAGATTTCTGATTTGAGAAAAATAACCTTCTTCTAAATTCTGATTTCGTTCTTCTTGAGAGAAATATTCCTTAGTATCTTCATAAATTGTTCCAATACAAGTATTATCAAACTACAAATAGTTTAAATGGCAGTCTTATTCTTGCAATGTTGACCTAACTTGTTTAGAGTCAGTCTTGATCATACTTCTGATGAATCAATGAGCATTCTTTCCTCAGAAATGTATGGTCTTCTACAAAGCCTTTTTCAATAGAACCAATGTTTAAATATTCTGCATAAGATCTTCTATCTGTTTGAATAGACAGCTTTATCATGAGGTTCTGATGTATCATAAGACAACATTCTTTGTTCTTTTGAAATATTCCTAATGAGATCTTATGAAAAAGTCAAGGGTGGACTAATCCATTTCTTGAAAACATCTCATACTCTCAAGGAACTTATTCAAAAGCATTCAACATATATAACTTTTTATCTGATGAATCTTTTCTTGTTAGCTTGTTCTTCAATTTTCTGATTTTAGACACTAGTTGAAA